GCTCTTTTTTTCTCAACACTTTTTAGTTGTTGTTTTATTTTACTTTTTTATTTAAAAAATAAATGCAATGTTGGTTAAGGGCTGTAAGTAAGCATTTCACTGTAATGTCTACACCTGTTGTATTCGGCGCATGTGGCCAATAAAATTTGATTTGATGGGAAACTAGGCTGCATTAAAACATTTTGTAGTAAGAATATTTTATCAGGTACAGTCAGGGCTCTAAATGTAAATGCATTTGTATCCCTATTCTGTCCCACAATCTGTCCCCTCCGTGTATGCTTCATTCATGCAACTCCCTTGCACGCGGCATACGTACGTCATACACATTTTACCAGTTGAAAGAAATGATTGATTGACCTTCACAGTAGAAGCGCGGGGTCAATTTGACCGTTTAGGTTTACTTTCAAAGTTACGTACTACGAAGAAAATAATAATAATCACTGCGCAGCTGTATGGAATTTAGCTAATGTTAACAGTCAGGTAGGTAGCTGATAGCATGATGGATATTAGAAAGTGGCTTCGCCAGGGCACAACGGCAGCATCGGATCAAAGCGGCGGGGAGGGGGAGAAGCCTGCCACAGAGGCCAAGGCCGCTGAGCCAACGCTAATCACCAAGGCCAAGGCCGCCGAGCCCAGCAGCAAAGGCACCTGCGCAACCATCTTGCAGCCTGGTGATATAGGAGGTAACCAACCCGAGGAGGGGCCTGCAGCCGCCAAGACCGAACCTAGCAGCAGCACCGCCAGGATATTACAAGCACCGACGCCTCCGTTAGTCGATGACCTCTGTGATAAGGAGCCAGCGCAGGTTTGTCTGTGGAAATACCCAACCCGCCTGTACTGTGGGAGAAAACTGGCAAGAAACTGCAAGGCAGATGCAGCTTTCTGCTGTCCTTCTCGAAAATGTTACATCGGCTCCAATGCGAACGCCGATAAGGCATTCACCCTAACTGGATATAATAACTGCAGACGCCAATGATAGCAACAAGGGACTGGGGAGGCATGCATCAAACAAAGAACATTTGAAATGCATGGTACTTTGGACAGAAAGACAAGCAAGGAAGATTTCAACACTTGTGAATTCTTGCAAGAAATCGTATGTATTTGTCATCGATTGTGGACATTGTGGAATTTCTTGCTGTCAACAAACTTCCTCTCAGGGGAACTTTGGATGCGATGGATGCAAGAGGGGAGGGGGGCGGTGGACTATTCCTGGCGATGTTACATTATACGCTCAGGAAAGACGAGGAACTTGCTAGTGCCTTAAGCGCAATTCCCTGCATTGCCACATACACATCTCATGACATCCAGAACGAAATAATTGGGCTCATGAGTGAGGTAGTCACAGAGGAAATTGTGAAGGAAGTAGGTGATTCATGGTACACACTTAAAGTGGATGAAACTAAAGACCCAACCGGTTGTGAAAACATTTCAATTGTACTCCGTTACGTTGGTGAAAACAACCGTGTTTGTGAGCGGCTACTGTCAATGGCAACGAGTAAAGAATGTGATGCTTTATCGCTGACTAACTTGGTCCTGTCAGAGCTAACAAATGTTGGCCTTGGCACTGAGAAGATTCTTAGACAATGTTATGATGGGGCCAGTGTGATGTCTGGTAAACATGGGGGCATGCAAAAGGTAGTGCAGGACAAGCTGAATCGGGAAGTGCCGTATGTGCATTGCTTTAACCACCAGCTGCATTTAGTCTTAGTGCACGCTATGTCATCTGAGGGTGCATTAGATGACTTTTTTAACGTGTGTAATTCCCTTTACAAGTTTCTTAGGAAACCAATTGTGGCTGCGCAATATACGGGAGAGAAACTGAAACGGCTGCTTGAGCAGCGATGGACTGGTCATCTGGCCACGGTGTATGTCATTATAAAATCTCTGGACAGCATCATCCACCTGCTCAGAGAAATTGAGAGTACCCGCACCTACGGTACAGAGGTGCGACTTGAGGCTGTGGGCCTATTGAAAGCTGTTTCCAAGCCGAGCTTCAGCTTCAGATTGCCTTCATGGTCCACAAAGTCCTCAGCCTGCTTGACCCCCGCTCCAAGCAAACGGCAAAGAGTAGTGAGTAGTAATCTGAAAGAATACGTAGTCGAAACAACAAAGGGCCAGCAAGAAGAGGATAATGAGAGGGAGTGTAAAAGACTGTTTTTCAGCACTCTGGATGCTGTACTGGGAGGAATGTCCGCAAGATTTAACGAACGAAACAGCCAACTTGTTGAGGTCCTGTGTGCCTTGCACCCAGAGAATGAAACCTTTATGGATGTGGAAAAGGTGAAACCACTGCTGGACTTAATCTTAGGAGACTTTGTGGAAGCTGAGTTTACTGTCGCACGGCAGTTTCTACAGACTGAAATCGGCCGATCTGGAGAAGACATATGGACTACGTAGAACATTTTGGATAGATACTCCGGGCCTCTAACAGCAGTGCCTACTGTGATGATGGCATTGACGCTGGGATTAACATTTGGAGCATCCACTGCAATTTGCGATAACTCTTTTTCAACATTGAAAAACGTATTCAGTGAGGACAGACGGAGCATGTTGCACAGGAGGAAAGCGCAGCTGATTCAACTGGCATTTGAGAGGGATCTTACAAGCAAATTCCGTGGGGAGTGGAACGAGAGACTGCTGAGGAGGTTCAACACAGCATCAAGGCGGCTGCAACTCTTTTGAATCTGGGTAAGAACAGGCAGCCTGGCTGGGCTTGTATTATTTTGTTATTTGCTAGCATTTGGAAATGCGTGGCAAATGTCAGAAATATGTGTATATGTGATTTTCTTTATTGGCGTTGCTGCCAAGTCTACGGCTTGATTTCTGTGATTTGATTGGATTGGAAATGTTTGGTTTATAATATAATCAGATTGTTTTAATGTTGTTTTATATGGTAGAAGAGGTGCTTTGCATTACATTGATGAGGGTGGGCAGACCTTGACCAATGGTTTAGTAACGATGTAGCTATAGTGTTGCCATAAACAACTCTTCGCTATGGAATACTAATTTCTCTGTTATCATACGCAGCGAAGTACGGCACTGTGGGAAGACAGCTTGGTAGCTGCATTGTACCGATAAGTCTTGCTAGTGCATTGTACATTATTGTTTTCTTTCTGCGATTGGAAATGCATTGTATTGGTTTGGAGAGGTGTTATTATGGTAATTAGCAACTGTTTTGCATTGCATTGATGGGTATTGTGTATGTAGCTGTGTAGCGTTGTCATAACTTGCAATTTCTTGAGCCGGTTATGAATTGTCCGTGTTTATAAAACGGTGCAGTAGCCTGTATTCTTGCGGCAAGACAGCCGTGCGTGGCTGCAAATACATTGTGTGTAATTGTACTATCGATTATTATCCATCCTGTGTTATCAGCAAGCAAAAATAGTTGTGCCCCCTTAGGCATTTCTGATGCCCCCTTGCCGAGTTAATCCTGCCACCGGGCCTGATTCTAGCTCCAGCTGAAGCACATGTTATGCCCTAGAAAGATGGATATACTGGTAATGTTACCAGGTTGTTAGCTAGCTATCTAGCTAGCTAGTGAGGTAACAAACGTGACTGAACAAGGTTTAAAACAAATGGTTAACGGCCAGCGAATAGTTTTAGAACGGCCGGTGACATGGTTTTTAGGAATGTAAAATGCGGCCCTCAATCCTCGACAGGAAGAAAAAAAACATTGCCCGGGTTAATATGAGTAAGATCTTTTTAACTGTTTGTGCTAGTAGAAACAAGCAGTGTTCACTGTAGTAAGGGTGCAAGCATGAAGCTAACGAATCTGCGCTCGGGAAACAACGGTACAGCGAAGCCTTATCATTACAACAATTATAATAAAAATACTTTTTTGTTGTCGCACTGGTGTTCCCAAATTAAAACGGCAGGTTACACAGCAGCGACACACATTTTCGTCGCACTTTAGACTCCTGGGTACAGTAGCAAAAAGGTTAATTGAAAATAATTGTTCCCATTGAAAATACATTTTCCAAAGGACCATTGTACAGATATAGGACGTCCTACTAAATTTCTTGTAACGCCAGAAGATGCAGATCTGAGAAACGTTCCATTCAGAGCTGAACTACTGTCTCTCTTTCCTGCTGTGGAGTAGACCTGTTAGGCTGCCAGTACATTCTGTGAGTCAGTTTCTGTAGCCTACCCACATTTTACTTATTCTGCAATTTCCATTGAATACGAGTTAGAGGAAGGAAGTGGGTGATTCCTCACGAAACCAGGACAAAAAAAGCTATTTGTATCTTAAAGCATAATTGAGAAAGAATGAATCAAAGTTAGCATATTTATGATATGAGATTTTGGCGTTACCCAGGGCTCCTTTAAGACTCCATAATGTTTCATATGTAGGTGCTACAAAGCAAAAATTGGGGTCATATGAAGTTTTGCCGCTTGCTCTGAAATGAGTGGTATTTTGATTTCAATAAAAAAATGTTTTACATACATTTATGAATATTTTGATATTCCTGTAGAGAATATATTATGTTTAACACTATATTGAAAAATGTGCCAAATCTTACATGGTATATTTTCAATATTAATGTTTAATATTCATAAATTAATGTAAGAAAATTATTGAAATCAAAATACTACTCATATTAAAAAGCAAGCGGGAAAAAAATAATATGATACCTGTGTTTGCTTTGTAGCACCTACAGATAAAACATTATGGAGTCTTAAAGGAGGCCTCGGTAAGGCCAAAATGTTATAAATATGCAAACTTTGAATAATTATTTCTCAATTATGCTTCATTACAAATGTCAAATATATGTCAACAAACCTTCCTCCAAAGGACTGTTCTATGGATAAAATGTTTTGAAAATCCCCCAAATCATGGTATTTTTTTGGCCTAGTTTGTGAGGAATAACCCAAGTGTCTCTTTCCTCCTCTGCTTTCCTCATTTCTCTAAACAGAATGTAGGGAGGAGGCTTACTGGTCTAACTCAGTCTATAGAATTGCGTGTCTACTTTATGAGACATTTGATCTTATTTTATTTTAGGCAATTTGACTATAATAGCCAAATAATAATGCAGGAAGCTGGAGAGTACACTATGAAAAGTAAGTGTCAGCATTTGTCTTTGTTTTAGTGGGCTAAGCAATAGGACCAAATGTGATTTACACAAGTGCCCTGTAATTCCTGGTTGAGCTTTATTCATCACAAAGTTTACTGTCAGCTTAGATTTAAATCCTCTCTCATCCTTTGACTCCAGTGCATCCGATGTGGCAGGGACCACTCGTTGCTCCTGGGGGTAACAGACAATCTCCTATTGATATTCGGGTGCGCAAGAGCGTCTTTGATCCGCACCTCAAGCCGCTGACCCCGGATTACGACCCCAGGACGTGTTCACAGATATGGAACAACGGGTACTCATTCCTGGTTGAGTACGACGACACCACCGACAAATCCAGTAAGGACTTTCTGCTCTGCAATGTGCCTCATTAAAACTGCAGTGCCCGCCACATGGAATGTGACTTTGATTTACTTTTTAAGTAGCCCTGCCCTAGGCTTATTTCTCGACATCACTCTGTCTTGAAACGTATTGTTTAGACAGTTCTCATTTTCAGTTGAAGTTATTTCAGAAATGTATATTTTGTTTCACTGCTTTAATAATATACTCTAGACTTTACATTAATATTTTGATGCCAATTATACAATAGGCTTATTATTCTGTAATTACATGAATTTTTTGTTCTGCTTTTGTGTGTGTGAGAAGAGAGAGGATACTTGTTATGTTTTAGCATGGATGTTTATATAACACAATATGCAACCCACCACCACTACCGTCATATACACACACACTTGACCATATACACATCATATATATACACACCATTTCAAGATTTACTGGCATTGAAATGTTTCTAACCCCCACTCAGCTGTTATTTATGTACTAGCTACTGTTTCCCATTCTCAGTATTGTATGTGTCTCTAATACAACACTGATGAATGATCTATTTATTCTTATCTATCCCTCACTCAGCACTTAAAGGGGGTCCTCTGGAGGATAACTTCCGGCTGTGTCAGTTCCACTTCCATTGGGGGGAGAGCAACGCATGGGGCTCAGAGCATACAGTGGACCGCCGCCTCTTCCCTGCTGAGGTAGCTACCGCACATCCTCTTCCTTAAAAGGATGTGCCAACTTTGTTGATTGCCTCTGAAATTTGAAAAACCTCCTAACATGTCAAGTCTAGTAGAGCTATAGTCTTCAGGAGACTGTGGCATGGAACGGTAGAAGGACTGCTTTTTAGTCATCAGGTCAAAGTGCTGAAGTCCTAGCCAATCCATAATGACATTGGAATGGAATTTCCGTGACAGAGGGGGATTGTGCTGTTGGAAACCTCCTCTACATATAGAATCAGAATGCTCTGTGTGAAATGCATTCTGGTCAATCCTCATGACCCACCTTTGATGTATCTATTTTAAAATTGTTCCACTCACCTAAAGCACACTTAAACAATAGAGGGAGTACTACTGTACTACTGTCTGTCTGGGGAGGGTGCCATGCCAAGCTGTCGTTATTGGCTGTGAAAATCTGACCATGTCAGGGTTCTCAACACTCCCCAGGTGGAGAGTGTGTAGAGAGGCTGAAGTTACGATTACAACACACAACTCCCTCTGTGTCTAATAGGAGCGTACCACAGTCTGGGTATTTAATGGATCCTCAGTTTACTTATTGGGTTGAACCTCTTTTGACAAACCTGCATTTTCTCTTTATGTAAACCTTTCCTGATCCCAGTGTGAATGTGGCTAGGGTGGGCCATTGTTGGGAACTGAAATGGAGTAAAACAAAGAGGAGCTACATGTGACCTCGGAGTCAGACAATGCTCAGTTTGATTTAATAGATACTGATACCTGTCTGTTAAGGATGGGGATTCTGGGGTGTATTTTAAAGTTGACCTGACTCTGGGTGTGTGGATAAACATGTTCTGATTTACATATGCTCCGCCTTTTCTGTCGATAGCTCCACATGGTGCACTGGAACTCTAATAAGTACAGCCGGTTTGAGGAAGCTGTGATGGAGGAGAATGGACTGGCTGTTATCGGGGTCTTCCTCAAGGTAATTTATTGCTCTTCGTTAACATAGCAATGGATACATCCCTACAATATGCAACCCACCACCACTACCGTCATATACACAGTGCCTTCGGAAAGTATTCAGACCCCTTGACTTTTTCCACATTTTGTTACGTTACAGACTTATTCTAAAATTGATTAAATTGTTTTTTCCCTAATCGATCTACACACAATACCCCATAATGACAAAGCAAAAACTGGTTTTTAGAAATGTTTGCTAATTTTTATTTTTTTTTTAACTGAAAAATTACAATTACTAAAGTATTCAGACCCTTTACTCAGTACTTTGTTGAAGCACCTTTGGCAGTGATTACAGCTTCAAGTCTTCTTGGGACGACGCTACAAGCTTGGCACACCTGTATTTGGGGAATTTCTCCCATTCTTCTCTGCAGATCCTCTCAAGCTCTGTCAGATTGGATGGGGAGTGTTGCTGCACAGCTATTTTCAGGTCTCTCCAGAGATGTGCGATCAAGTTTAAATCCGGGCTCTGGCTGGGCCACTCAAGGACATTCAGAGACTTGTCCCGAAGCCACTCCTGCGTTGTCTTGGCTGTGTGCTTAGGGTCGTTGTCCTGTTGGAAGATGAACCTTCGCCCTAGTCTGAGGTCCTGAGTGCTCTGGAGCAGGTTTTCATCAAGGATCTCTCTGTACTTTGCTCCGTTCATCTTTGCCTCGATCCTGACTATTCTCCCAGTCCCTGCCGCTGAAAAACATCCCCACAGCATGATTCTGTCACCACCATGCTTCACCATATGGATGGTGCCAGGTTTCCTCCAGGCGTGACGTTTGGCATTCAGGCCAAAGAGTTCAATTTTGGTTTCATCAGACCAGAGAATCTTGTTTCTCATTGTCTGAGAGTCTTTAGGTGCCTTTTGGCAAACTCCAAGCGGGCTGTCATGTGCCTTTTACTGAGGAGTGGCTTCCGTCTGGTAACTCTACCATTAAGGCCTGATTGGTGGAGTGCTGCAGAGATGGTTGTCCTTCTGGAAGGTTCTCCCATCTCGACAGAGGAACTCTAGAGCTCTGTCAGAGGGACCAAGGCCCTTCTCCCCTGACTATTCAGTTTGGCCAGGCGTCTAGCTCTAGGAAGGGTCTTGTTGGTTCCATGAATGATGGAGGCCACTGTGTTCTTGAGGACCTTCAATGCTGCAGAAATGTTTTGGTACCCTTCCCCAGATCTGTGCCTCGACACAATCCTGTCTCGGAGCTCTACGGACAATTCCTTCGACCTCATGGTTGGTTTTTGCGCTGACATGCACTGTCAACTGTGGGACCTTATATAGACAGGTGTGTGCCTTTCCAAACCATGTCCAGTCAATTGAATTTACCACAGGTGGACTCCAATCAAGTTGTAGAAACATCTCAAGGATGATCAATGGTAACAGGATGCACCTGAGCTCAATTTCGAGTCTCATAGCAAAGGGTCTGAATACTTATGTAAATAAGGTATGCTTTTTATTTTTAATATATTTGCAAACATTTCCAAAACCTGTTTTTGCTTTGTCATTATGGGGTATTGTGTGTAGATTGCTGAGGATTTTTATTTATTTAATCCATTTTAGAATAAGGCTGTAACGTAACAAAATGTGGAAAAAGTCAAGGGGTCTGAATACTTTCCGAAGGCACTGTACACACCATTTCAAGATTTACTGGCATTGAAATGTAAACACCCCATGCAGTGAATGTAAACACACAGCACGTGCCTGACAGATGGACTCAGTGCTCAGACACAGATTATTTTACTCCTCAGATAGGGAAGAGACACAAAGGACTGCAGAAACTAGTGGATGCCCTACCTGCTGTCAGACACAAGGTGAGTTCAATGATTGACCACTTAAACCATGAAGGTGATTATAATATTTATTTTTTTACCAAGGTTCCAAAGAGCACATTTCAAGCAGGTGGTATATGCCTCTGAGTTTCTGTTAAGCCCAAGCTTAACGTAAATAGTCAATGTACTGTACGACTCAGTTGGGCAATCTGGACAAGTCTCAGGTGGTGCACACGTTTGTATGGCAATGGTATGTGAGGGGGAGAGTGTGATGACAGATAATATGGAGAGTGTAGGAGCTATATGGGAGTGGTAGAGTGTTGAGTGGTGGAACACCCTTTGTTACCTCCCACAGAATTATTAAACAAATGAATCATTCTGAAATATGATCCGAGATGGGAAGACAGTCAACTGTAACTGCCATCTAGTGGCCATGAGTCAAATTACATGCCACTACTATCATTAAGGTTATTATTTACATTTTAGTCATTTAACAGACGATCTTATCCAGAGCGATTTACAGTTAGTGAGTGCATACATTTTTTCATACTGGCCCCCCGTGGGAAACGAACCCACAACCCTGGCTTTGCAAGCACAATGCTCTACCAACTGAGCTACGCAGGGCCACTATGGATGGGGAATGCCAATAATGATTATTATTATTATTATTACATGGTTGGCAGCACCATGTGACCCTTTCCTCGTTCCGTTTTCGCTCCCTAGGACAGTGTTGTTGAGTTCACTAGGTTCGACCCAGCCTGCCTACTGCCTACTAACATTGACGACTACTGGACGTATGCAGGGTCACTTACCACTCCTCCTCTGACTGAGGCAGTGACCTGGATTATCATGAAGCAGCACATCGAAGTCAGCCATGACCAGGTTAGTGTGTATGTGTTTGTTTGCTAGTGGAGAACAGGGACGGAACATCAATGGCATTACCAGCAGTTTACAGCTTGGTGTGTTAACTCAGTAGTTTCAGGTCTATGTAACACATTGTTCCTATCCCTTTCTCAGCTGGCAGTGTTTCGGAGCCTGCTCTTCACCTCAGCAGAGGAGGAGGTGCAGAAGAGCATGGTCAACAACTTCCGCGTGCAGCAGCCCCTGAGGGGTCGCACTGTGCGGTCCTCTTTTACCCCCTTCCTGCAGCAGGAGCCACCTGCAAAAGGTCCACACACAGGCCACTGACCGGTACACACAGACTCACTAGGACCCTTCAAACCAAAATTATGCAATTACCCTGGGAAGCAAATTTTTGGGTCTAACAAAGTCTTACGTTTTACTCTACATAAGTCATACTGCTGGCATCTTCTTTCCAAACGCCTAATGCATTCAGAAAGCACTCTATGATTTCACTTAAATGACAGGGATTTTAGAATTCCAATGTCATCATCTTAAGCTGTGGTATTCAAAGTCAGGGTCGTGACCCCAAGTTAGGTTGTGTGGGAACTGCTGTGGGTTGGGAGAAAAAAATTGTTAACAAAAAATGAAGAATATTTTATGGGACAATATAAAAATGTTTTTGAGAAAGATAATTTGAAAAATACAATTTTGAGTAAGTGTATTTATTGGTTTCTTTCATTTTGATAAGAGATAAAAATGTAATGAATTGAAGGTTATTTGTTGACGTAAAAATCTAAATGTATCTTTTTTAAGGTCGTGTCATTAGATCTGGGGTGGGGTCGCGAGAAATTCTTGCAAAAAAAAGGGGGTCCCCGCTGAAAAAGTCTGAATACCTATGATCTAAAGGCTTTTTTTGTTGACATCTGTCTCATTGCCTGCTGTCCTGTCAATAAGTGAACGTCATCATCAACACATGGCAGGTGTATTGCTGTAGTCGATGCTAACAGATTTTTGAAACTCCTGTGTCTTAGGTAAATCAGGTTAGGGAGTTTTTTTATGAATGCTCTGAATGTTTTTAAGTTGTAAACCTTATTTATTCACTCCTTATTAACAGTCAAACTTGACACGCTTCCAGAAACCAATGATTGATGCTGCTGGAATACTTTTATATACTATCAACACTTATTATGTAAACTAAGCATATGTATATCACCCTCTTGTGGAAAGAGTACTTCTACAGTAAATTTTATTCTTCCTTGACAAAGTATTTGAGGTGAAGGGGCACCATATATGAATGGGGGTTTAGTTTGAAGGTTTAAGCTCTAAACTTGTTTACAGCATACAGCCGAAGAGATTTAGTTCATTGTATTTAGGCCTAGCTAAGGCTCCAAACTGCACAAATGATTGTTGCTCATTGCTGTTAAATATGTTTTTAGGTGATGATTGGCATTTGTAATGGATTTTAATACATAGTGTTGAGTAGACTAGAATGTACATCTCACTATCTGTAACTTAGAGGTAAAATTAATAATATGTGCAGGATCTACAGCTTCATAATGCCTTATAAGCACAGGGAAACCAGGGCATTTGTTACAACTAATATCACTATTTTGTTGAATTCTATAGCAAACATTGACCTTTTTAACATGAGTGTCTAAGATTATTTTTGTCCTGTAATCAAATTGTTCTGTTGTACTAAACAGGAATCTACCATAGTGCCTTCTATGTTATGCATAATACTGACACACACGGTCACCTCTGTTTTCATAGATCAATAGCTCACTCCAGTGGTGGTTCTGTTGGAGCCTGCTGGTCTATTGCATATTGACAATAGTCTGCCCCTCCCAGGCTTTTAACAGGCAGTCGGTAGATTGTTTGTTTGCCAGGTTGTGGTCCAGGAGATGGGAGAGTTTAGAAAGGGAGTCACATGTACATCATTAGCCTGTTGTTCATCCTGTTGGTTCTGTATTTATTTATTGGTGGAGGTCGAAAGGATTTGACTTGCCTTTTAGAGGCACTAGCAGCACACAGGCAGGAATCATTCTCCTTCTGATATTTGTATGTCATTTCTTGAGACTGTTTAGCTTCTATGGTACTCTGAAAACTGCTATTTGTTCAGTCCTTGATATTGTAATAATTTGGAGATTATTTTAAAGTTCACAGCGGAACCATCAGAAATGCAAAATATCTAGGTAGCTGGACAGGGATTACAGTGGGACCAACTATATGTATCAACTTGAAAACATACCTAAACTTAATGTTATGCTTTAAAAGCATTCCAAAAGGTTGTTTATGGTAGAATAAGCACTGCTATTCCCTATGTTGACACGAAACCATGATAAGTGATATAGCACATTTTATAGCAATTGTAATACATACACTACATTACCAAAAGTATGTGGACACCTGCTCGTCGAACATCTCATTCCAAAAATCAAGAGAACGTGTTTCCACTGCTCCGGAGTCCAATGGCGGCGAGCTTTAGACCACTCCAGCCGACGCTTGGCATTGCGCATGGTGATCTTAGGCTTGTGTGCGGCTGCTCGGCCATGGAAACCCTTCTCATGAAGCTCCTGACTAACAGTTCTTGTGCTGACATTGCTTCCAGAGGCAGTTTGGAACTCGGTAGTAATTCTTGCAACCGAGGACAGACTATTTTTACGAGCTACGCGCTTCAGCACTTGGCGGTCCCGTTCTGTGGGCTTGTGTGGCCTACCACTTCACGGCTGAGCCGTTGTTGCTCCTAGACGTTTCCAATAACAGCACTTACAGTTGACCAGGGCAGCTCTAGAAGGGCAGACATTTGATGAACTGACTTGTTGGAAAGGTGGCATCCTGTGACGGTGCCCTGTTGAAAGTCACTGAGCTCTTCAGAAAGACCATTCTTCTGCCAGTGTTTGTCTATGGAGATTGCATGGCTATGTGCTCGATTTATACACCTGCCAGCAATGGGTGTGGCTGAAATAGCCGAATTCACTAATTTGAAGGGGTGTCCACATACTTTTGTGTATATATAGTGTATCTTGCTGCCTATTTTCCATTGGCCTATTTTCCATTGGCCTACTTCTCATTGCAGTTTGATGGGTGTGCCTTGCAGTGCTTTGCAGTACATAACTATAGAGAACATACAAAAATGATATGGTAATATAAAATGTAAGTTTACACACTGCCAGGAATGTCATACATGATGGAGCATGAGTTTATACACTAACTTTCACACATCTAGATGGCCGGGCAGGTTGGGTGTGGAGCCAGAGACCGCAGGGGTTCAAACTGTAGAATCCAGTTCCTACATTTGAATATAAAAATTGAATTTATCAAACAAACCTATGGTACATTTTATCTCTGGAACCCTTAGGATGACAAATCAGAGCAAGATTACTGGTGAACGTATCAAACCAGTAGCCGTGATAAGTTTTTTGTTGTTATGCACTCTCCTCAAACAATAGCATGGTATTTTTTCAATGTAATAGCTACTGTAAATTGGACAGTGCTGTTCGATGAACAATAATTTAAGCTTTCTGCCCATATAAGACATGTTTATGTCCTGGAAAGTTTGCTGTTACTTACAACAGTCATGCTAATCACATTAGCGCACGTTAGCTCAACACCGATCCTGTAGAGGTTAAATAATGATCATTAGTCTTGATTAATCTGTCATCTATGGGGAACTGCTGTATTTTCATGTATATGCCATCAGTTTTAAACATGTAAAACTTAGTACGCACAATGATCTAGATCGATGTACATGACCAGTCAAACGTTTGGACACACCTACTCATTCAAGGGTTTTTCTTTATTTGTACTATTTTTTATATTGTAGAATAATAGTGAAGACATATAAACTATGAAATAACACATATGGAATCATGTAGTAACCAAAAAAGTGTTAAACAAATCAAAATATATTTTATATTTGAGATTCTTTAAATAGCCACCCTTTGCCTTGATGACAGCTTTGCACACTCTTGGAATTCTCTCAACCAGCTTCATGAGTTAGTCACCTGGAATGCATTTCAATTAACAGGTGTGCCTTCTTAAAAGTTAATTTGTGGAATTTCTTTCCTTAATGTGTTTGAGCCAATCAGTTGTGTTGTGACAAGGTAGGCTCTCATGAGGACCACCATAGGAATGGAGGACCCAGAGTTACCTCTGCTGCAGAGGATTAGTTCATTAGAGTTACCAGCCTCAGAAATTGCAGCCCAAATAAATGCTTCACAGAGTTCAAGTCACAGACACATCTCAACATCAACTGTTCATAGGGGACTGTGTGAATCAGGCCTTCATGGTCGAATTGCTGCAAAGAAACCACTACTAAAGGACACCAATAATAAGAAGAGACCTGCTTGGGCCAAGAAACACGAGCAATGGACATTAGACAGGTGGAAATTTGTCCTTTGGTCTGGAGTCCAAATTGGAGATTTTTGGTTCCAACCGCTGTGTCTTTGTGAGACTCAGTGTGGGTGAACGGATGATCTCTGCATGTGTAGTTCCCACCGTAAAGCATGGAGGAGGAGTTGTTATGGTGTGGGGGTGCTTTGCTGGTGACACTGTCTGTGATTTATTTAGAATTCAAGGCACACTTAACCAGCATGGCTACCACAGCATTCTGCAGCGATATGCCATCCCATCTGGTTTGGGCTTAGTGGGACTACCATTTGTTTTTCAACAGGACAATGACCCAACACACCTCCAGGCTGTGTAAGGGCTATTTTACCAAGAAGGAGAGTGATGGAGTGCTTGATCAGATGGCAAAACCCCCCGACCTCAACCCAATTGAGATGGTTTGGGATGAGGCGGACGGCAGAGTGTAGGAAAAGCAGCCAACAAGTGCTAAGCACATGTGGGAACTCCTTCAAGACTGTTGGAAAAGCATTCCAGGTGAAGCTGGTTGAGAGAATGCCAAGAGTGTGCAAAGCTGTCATCAAGGCAAATGGTGGCTATTTGAAGAATCTCAAATATAAAATACTTTTCTATTTGTTTAACACCTTTTTGGGTACTACATGATTCCATATGTGTTATTTCATAGTTTTGATGTCTTCAGTATAATTCTACAATGTAGAAAATAGTAAAAAATAAAGAAAAACCCTTGAATGAGTAGGTGTGTCCAAACTTTTGACTGGTACTGTACATGTTTTACATAAATGGGACTTCCACTTAACTTGCTCAACAGCAGTGTGTTGCCAGTGTTTTTATGTTAACATTCAATTCTCTGGCAACAGCTCTGGTGGACATTCCTGCAGTCAGCATGCCAATTGCACGCTCCCTCAAAACTTGAGACATCTGTGGCATTGTGTTGTGTGACAAAACTGCACATTTTAGAGTGGCCTTTTATTGTCCCAAGCACAAGGTGCACCTGTGTAATGACCATGCTGTTTAATCAGCTTCTTGATATGCCACACCTGTCAGGTGGATGGATTATCTTGGCAAATGAGAAATGCTCACTAACAGGAATGTAAACAAATTTGTGCTCAAAATATGAGAGAATTAAGCTTTTTGTGCGAATGGAACATTTCTGTGATATTTTATTTCAGCTCATGAAACATGGAACCAACACTTTACATGTTGCGTTTATGTTTTTGTTCAGTGTTAATGCCAGTTGAAAAGTTCCAGTGGCCTGGTATTGGCCCCAAGTCAGAGCAGGTCTGCCGGAGCCATGGCCCACGTAGATGGAAAATAAAGTCTAAGCCTTTTGGGTGACACACTGGGGTAAATCTCAGATGGAAACTCAATAGTACTTCCCCTTGCTTTGTTTGCTACTTAGCAGGTGTTTTCCTGGAGCTAGAGGAGTGTTCTACGTGTGTTGTGCTGTAGTACATGTTGTATTTGTTCTATCAATGGGTGGCCACATTCCTGCCCCATGGGCCGGAATGAAAACTGCTATTGAGGGGCTGTGGTTCAAGGGCTAAGTTGGGGCCCCTCTCCCAACAGGCCTGTTGTTGCACCAGGTGCCTGATTGGCCCAGTCCAGCCGTACAACCAGGAAGCCAATGCTGACAAATGTTTATATAGAAGATTTTAAAACCTATATTAAAGATGAAAATAATAAAGAAATGAGTGATTAATTATGCCTGTGTTTGAGTATTTTTACTTGCTGGTGGGACTAAAAAGCTTCTATGGAATGGGGTGCTCATGTAGTTAAAGAAAAGTAAGGGTGATGGCGTCTCCCATAAAATACCACAACGGTCTGTTATGGGACATGCTGGTAT